TTCAGTAATAAACAATAATGAATCTTTGGTACATAAAAGAAATGACACTGTTTACACGATTATGCAAGTCGTCTGCATGTTGGTGGGCCGCTCAAACCCGTCAAAAATCGAGTTTCCACAGTCAAAATATTTAATTGCGTAGTGTTTTTTTTTAGTTCAAATAAATAATGTCGAATTAAAAACTCCCAAAATTTGAAAACCTACTGTACAACATTTAACCCTTCAATATATCTTCAAAGAGACCACGAAGCAGTGAAAGTGGTGCTACTGCTTCCAAGCATAAGCACAAGTCATTATCTATCCAGGAAAAGGGTGAATTTCCATGGTCAGGCACCGGTCAGGTCCCGAGGTTGCCGGACTAGAGAGGTACAACCTGTATAGTCTGGGTTTACGCGGATATTTTATACGCGTTTGGCCATTTACGTGGCACCTGTCCAGACACGGCAATTATTAGTTATGCAGTACATTCCTTAATTTACGCAGACAGCAGCAGGCAAGCGACTGGTCACTGACATCACCGCTGACGTCAGACTCGTTCCGATGACGTCGCGGGCTGTGATTGGGCCACGTATCCTTACCACCCACGCACCCCCTCCGTCGCGCACTGTGATTGGTCTATTTAACCTTGCCTGCCCAGTCAACAAAACATTACCGAGTTCTTCACCCGCCACCCACCATAGCCAGCCCAAGTCAGTGATAGTGATAGTGATAGTGAGGATATGGACTTTGAAGGGATCGACAAGGTGGCCCTGCTAGCCTCTGTGGTGGATAGTGATACAGGTGATACAGACGAGGGCCAATAATCTTCCCTCTGCCTCGGAACCAACCCCCCATCCCCATGCGCCCAGCCATCTCTTCTACTAACGTAAGTGTTATAAAACCTAATATTATTGATATTTCTCTTAAACATTAATTGTGTGTGCATACCATCATAAAATTAAGATGTTATTTTTAATACAATGTGCGTATTGTGTCGGAAAAAGGGTAGTCTGACGGTCGGCCCAGTCTCTATTTCAATTAATTAATCCCATATGTTCTGTTATTTTATTTAAGCGTTTCGCGTTATACGCGAACCTCCATGGGTTTAATTGACTGCATAAACCCAGACTATACTGTACTGTATTTTTGGTGTTTTTTATATCATTATTTATCGTTTTTATACATTAGTACATTCACCGGAAGATTCGGACAATCTGCTTTTCCGGACAGTTGGTCCCCCCTTTAGTCCAGATCTTCGAGGGTTCACTGTAAATGTATATACAATACGTGTAAAAGAAATAATTGCCCTAAGGGCAAACACAAAGGGAATATACATTTCTCTGTACGCAAGTAAAAATGAACCACCCGCCCCCCGCAAATGTTATTTGCGTATTTGGCGATTCGCGGCCATTTTGAGAACATAGTCCTCCAGCAAATTTGGGGCCCCCCTGTATTATTATTATTATATTTTTTTTGCCCCCCAGGCCAGTAAATAAAAAAAAATATATATAAAACGAGGAGATCACGTCAACCAGCTGATGACAGAGTAGATGAGAGTTGAGACAATAAAGAAATGCAGAGAGAAGGTGCCAAGAATGAGGATGGGAAAGAGTAAAGAACATTAAAAAGAAAGTACAGTACTGTAAAACATTTGCCGCTGCATCTGACTTTGAGACAGCATTTGATAAGGAGGGAGGCACTGTGGGAAAACTAGACTTTTCATAGGGTCTGCAGATGTTTATAGAGGGTGTCAACAAATTTTAATATGGAACTAGTGCATACTGTACATGTTAATTAGCAGTGGTGTGAAAATGTGGGTCGATGTACATATGGAGTACATTAGGGGTGTGTGATGTCATCCTGACTATTTAAAGTCTTCATGGATAAGTCAGAACATGAAATAAAAATAATAAGTGAATGTGAGAGTGAAATGAAACTGAGGCATGATGAACCATGCAGATATGGATGGTGCTGTGTCATTTTGATAATGAAGTTTATACCAAAAATGGTAAAGGAAAGTTATTGAAAGTACAAATGCAATGATATCTGAAAGAGAAAGACAATCTCAGTGTAACATCACCATAAATGAAGAAGAGCTGCAAATTGTAATGAATTTAAGTACACTATTTGGAAAAAACTGTTCAGCAAAGAGAAAAATAGAAGTTATCTTTAATAAATAATGCAAGAAGAACAGGCAGGGCAGGGCACTCATACATGAGAAGAGTAACTGTATATTATCAGCCTTCTGGCTGCCAAGCTCTTTCAATAAACCGTTAATTATTATTATTATTATTATTAAATGTAGTGTGTGCAGACCACAAGGAGGAGGGCTTGTTCCAATTCTTTCAAATGGATGTAAAACTCAGGTGTTTCAGAGTGATAATAGATCAAGAGGTTTATTGTCTGAGATGTATCACAGAAGGTTGGAAAACAGAGAGCACAAAGAATAAAAACATAATTAGAATGTGTAGGGTCCAATATTTTCTGGTAAGTTGAATCTATAAGAATACACCAAAATGGCGAGGGTAGAAGGAGCACACACCTGGTGAGAGATTGGCTAGAAAGAGTTTGACAGCACAGTTGAAAGCAGGAGTGTGTGTAGACCAAGAAAGAGATGGATACACTATATGAATGGATTAGAAAGGTCTGGAAGAACTGTATCTCATTAGTTAATGCTTGTGGATCACAAAAAGAGTAATTTCATACACAATAGAGGTAAAATAAACTATTGACTTAAAATATACAGTACAGTTAGTGGATACGAAACCTTTTGAATCAAACTAAAGTAAATGTTAAACTTCACTTTGTATAATGTGTATGAAAGTTGAGAATATGAGCAAGCTTGAATAAATATTTTTACTTCTCTTAACCCTTTCCCATTGCTTTCTACATCTGTCTTACATCAATCTCCCTATCATTTTACTCTCTTCTTTGGGGTGTTAACAGAGGGAGCAGAGTAAAGATACTACAGTGAAACCTCAATAATCCAGTATAGCTGGAACCCAACAGCTTCCACGATTCATAATATTCCAATTTCTATGATTATAAAGTTTACATGGTCCCCAAAATACAAGCCTAGGCCTAAGTTTGCAAATGTTGAATCTACCCGACATTAGAAAACAAAAAACAAAAAAAGTGAATCTGTCAATATGACTGAACATGTGTCACTACAGACTCAAAGACCAGAAACAATAGTTTGGTGGGAACAAGGGCATCCACAGTGCCAGACAACAGACCAGGGTCTACTAACTTGAGGTAGTGTGCCAGATTTCAGAAATTAGGGGAATACAGTACAGTAGTACCCTGATTTACGCGGTCAATTGAACCCACAGGGTAACGCAGAAAGTGAAAACCGCGTAAAGTGAACAACAGAGCATATGGGATTAATTCCAATAGAGACTGGCCCGACCCCCAAACTCCACTTTTTCTGACACAATACCTATGTTGTAGTAAAAATAACATCTAAATTTTATGATGGTATGCTCACACAATTAATATTTAAGAGAAATACAGTTGCCAGGTTAATGTCCATTCAAATAATGGACTCAAACCCCCCCCCCTCCCCCCACCTTCCCTCCCTACCAGAGAAATGTTGGGGGAAAAAACTAGATTTTAACGTTTAGTAATAAATAATACCTCAGACTAAACTTAGGATAATATAATTGACATTTCTGGATTCCCTGCAGGTCAGGGAATATTTTGAATGTAAACTTCATATATTTTGCATAAAAGATAAAATATTTGCTTTGTGTAAACCAAATTATTACATTAGATCTAAAATTTGTAAGTCTAATGCAAAATCCATGATGTTTATATTCAAAATGATTATCATATTGTAAGAATTCCAGCAATGTAAATTATATTCTGGCCAGGTAATTTGTATGAATTTTATGAGCTAAAACATATATCTTCAGTAAATAAACAAAGAAATATTCTTGAAGGACACTATCTGTCAATCAAAATACTCCGCCCTAGCTGGGTCGGTCCCTCCCTCCCTAACCCCCACCCCCACCTTCCCTCCCTACCAGAGAAGTGATTGGGAGAAAATAGTATATTTACATTTTTAGTAATAAATAATAACTCAGACTAAAGTTAGGATAATATAATTGACATTTCTGGATTCCTTGCAGGTCAGGGAATATTTTGAATGTAAATTTCATATATTCTGCACAAAGGATAAAATATTTGCTTTGTGTAAACCAAATTATTACATTAGATCTAAAATTTGTATGTCTAATGCAAAATCCATGATGTTTATGTTCAAAATGATCATCATATTGTAAGAATTCCAGCAATGGAAATTATATTCTGGCCGGGTAATTTGTATGAATTTTATGAGCTAAATAAAAAAAAATAAACAATAAATTATACTTCACCGCGTATATGAGCAGATGCACCGTGGAAAGTGAAAGTCCGGTTCTGGCAAGGTACCGCGTAAATGAGAAATCGCAGAAAGTGAATCCGTGTAAAGCGTTGGATTACTGAGGCTCCACTGTAGATATATACAGTGGGGTATGCTATAACGAATCAAATTGGTTCTAGAACCTTGTTCGTTATAGCATTCGTTCGTTATAGGATTAATCCGTTCCAGGCCCACAAATACAACCACTTAACACTGAAAAATATAATATAAAATTATAAAAATTGTAAAAAAGTGCATAAATATGCATCTAAACCCCTGAAATAAAGAATATCATTAATACTTGTAATAAAAACAATAAATTAGTAAAAAAAAAAAATTTTTTTTTTTAAATAATGTTCGTTGTAGGAGTTTCGTTCGTTATAGCATTCTCAATTTTATAGGTAAAACCGTTTGTTATAGGAATATTCGTAGTAGGATCCGTTCGTTATAGCATACCCCACTGTATTACACTATACAATATACATTGTAATTAATTAAGAATATTTATTACTGTATAGTATTTAGGTCAAAGTTGATGAATGTTGACAAAAAAGAATTGAATACAGCATCCAAATTAAATTTTTCATCTTATTTACAAATTTGCACGAGGAAAACTTACCTGTGTTTTAACTTTGGTTGTGAGATCAGCAGCATTGGCACCATCCACTCTTTCAATGACTTGTCCTGCACGCAGCAACACAAAAGTTGGCACAGCAGAAACATTATGTTTCAAGCTAACTTCTGAGAGATCTTCAGCAACAACAATCCCAAAGGTGACATCCTAAATAATAAAGCAAAACAATATAAAACATGATGGTGTGGTGCATAAATACCTAGTAAATATCATTATGGTATAGAATATTATGTAAACAAAACCTACAGAATATCTGGTGACCAAATATAAGTACTGTATCCACATAAAGTGTCTCCCTGTTGTAGCCCCAGTCACTACCCATTTCCTCATTCTCTCTTTCTTTTGATTATCTATGGTATATCCACCTGATACAGTGCAGAATTTCCTTAAAGCTCGCAGTTTTAAAGCTTGCGTTCCTTCGAAACTCGGATTTCAATGGAAAATAACTAAATTTTTGTTCAATCCAGAATGTGACGTCTAGCGTTATACCTAGGTATGTAAATGCCCAGCAATAACTCGCCGGGCCAACATACAGGCAATTAAAACATCTAATAATTACTTAATACATAATACAGTGGTCCCTCGGTTAACAAATGCTTTGGTTAACAAAATTTCGGTTAACGAATTACTTTCCATAAGAATCTTCAATTCTGTTAATGAAAAAAAATTTGACTAACGAAATTCTTACGAAAACATGTCAACATGTTTTGCCGTGCTCATTGGCTGGTAGATTAGTCCGCCAATACAGTAATCGGTTCTAGGGCTTACATTCGTTTTCATTTGGAGAAAATATCAAGAAAGTTGTGCTCTTCAATATTTTTCCAAGTTTTATATTAAAATTATTAGTCATTTAAATACTTATTTAACATAATTGCAGTACAGGGAACTAGTTTTTGGTGCGCCCATCAGCCACTTCACTCACTCACCAAGGCGTCTGTTTAAGTCTCTGTACAGTTGAGGAAACATCTTGCTTGTGGGTCTCTTGAACACAGAGTATTTTTACGTTTTTAAAGTACAATTATTGGTCATTCTGAAATTTATTTAACATATTGATAATATATAGCGCAGTGCAGTGTTGATTTAAAGAAAATAATCTTTAATTACAGCTAGTGAACTTAAAACTTAGTGGTGAAATTACTATATTGAATCCAGCATGGGTCCAAAGAAATCTAGAAAGGCGATTTCAATTCCAGTGAAACCGGAAATCATTAAGAAACATGAAGAAGGCATTAGAACAAATGTGCTAAGTAAAGAATATGGCATGTCGGCATCAACTGTGTCGACAATTTTTTCGCAGAAAGACAAATTTAAAGAAGTGAAAGTGAGAGATAAACCTACCAGAGTGTTTAAAAGTAGGTCATTAATTGCAGAAACAGAGAGGTTACTTCTTATTTGGATTAAGGAAAAACAAATGAACGGAGATTCAATTTCAACTGAATTTATTTGTGAAAGAGCCAGGGAAATTTACAAACCTTTGAAGGAAGAGCAACCTAGTTCTTCTGAAACTGAGTTTGAAGAGTTTAGGGCCAGCAAGGGCTGGTTCGAGAAATTTAAGAAAAGAAGTGAAATTTTTAGTGTTGTTAGGCATGGTGAAGCTGCCAGTGCAGATAAAGAAGGAGCAGCAAAATTTGTAGTGGAGTTTAAGGAACTGGTGGATACAGAAAATTATCTTCCACAGCAAGTGTTCAATGTGGACGAAACTGGGCTGTTCTGGAAGAAAATGCACAAAAGGACATTCATCACAAGAGATGAAGCCTCTTTACCTGGGTATAAACCCATGAAGGGCCGTCTCACTCTATTGCTTGGTGCCAATGCTTCAGGGGATTTCCGACTGAAGCCTATGCTTGTCTACCACTCTGAGAACTCCAGGGTGTTCAAGCAACAAAAAGTGGTAAGAGGACGGCTTGGAGTTTATTGGAAGTCCAACCGTAAGGCATGGGTGACAAGACAGCTCTTTAATGAATGGGCTGTTGAGGTGCTTTGCCCTTCTGTGAAGAGCTACCTAACCACCAATAAACTCCCTTTAAAGGCTCTTCTCCTTCTGGTTAATGCCCCTGGTCAAGACCCTGAACTTGCCAGCACTTTGGAGGCTCGATTTTACTTTGTCAAAGTGTTGTTTTTGCCTCCCAACACGACATCAATTATGCAGCCAATGGACCACAATGTAATCAGCAACTTCAAGAAGCTGGACATGAAGAAAATGTTCAGAAGGTGTCATCAGGCAACTCCACTGATCCTGATCTAACACTGGCAAGGTTCTGGAAGATGCAATACAACATCCTGGAGGGAGTAAAATTGATTGTGTCATCATGGCAAGAAGTCTCCAGTAGATCTCTCAATTCTTCATGGAAAGCACTGTGGCCATCAGTAGTCCATGATTTTGAGGGATTTGAGGAAGAAACAGAGTTGGACAAGGAGATTGTGTCCATTGGTCAGTCATTGGGCCTTGAAGTGGAGGAGGAGGATGTGGAAGAGCTTGTGATGTCTCATGAGGAGGAACTTACTCCTGATGACTTGAAGCAACTGGATGAGATGTTACAGGTAGAGGCTGACAGTGGTGAGGAGGAAAGTGAAAGTGATGACCATATGTCAGCTAAACAGTTGAAAGATGTGATTTACTACTGGGAGAAGTTCAGGGAACTGGCTTCAAAGCACCCAGAAGTAGAAAAAACTGAACTAACTTTGTGTCATGTTGAGAACTCCGTGGTCTCCTTCTTTAAACATAAGTTAATGGTGAGGAGGACAGGTGCCCCACAGACCACAATTGACACTTTCTTCAGTAAAAGGCAGAGGGAACAAGATGCTATCCCTCAGCCTTCCACTTCAAGAAGGAGAGAGGATGTTCATGGTGGAGAATCTGTCAGTCCAGAGGTTCCTGACATTTTCATGGAAGGTGACTCACCTTCCAAGAAGCAGTAAAATGCTTCTCCTCCACCTCCACTTCCTTCTCTTCTCCCTTCTCCTCCTCCACCTCCCAATTCAAATGCACATCATCATCATCATCATCCAGGAGCCTTCTACATACACACCTCAAAGTAAGTAAACTTTTCTACCATTTTTGTTGAATTTAGGAAATTTTCGGTGAGCTGGAACCAATTACCCAAAAACCCATTGAAACAATGGTTTCGGTTAACGAACAACCTTCTGGAACGGATTGAGTTCGTTAAACGAGGGGTCACTGTACCATAATCAAATTAGTACATGTGCAGTCCAGCTTTGCACAAATTTATTTTACGTTTATTTTAGTATGCTGTGTGAAAGTAAATGGGTGAAAATAAATGAAGAAATTTATGTAAATCTACCCAAAAATACAGTTGAAAAACTTTTTATAAAATATACTACAGTATTGTTCACTAATGTACTACACTTTTTATATCTTGAGCAAAATATATGACGCTTATATTCAAATTAATCTCGTCTTGCAAGGATTTCAGCAATACAAATTATATTATCCTAACTTTAGTCTGAGATATTATATAAAATAAACATAAAGACATCACCAATCTTTTATCTTGAACACGAGGGTGATGGGAAGAGGGGGCGGGAGGTGAGGTGACAGAATGTCTGGCGTTTGTTTGTTTATTTATTTGAGATAAGATTTGACAGTTGGCGCTGAAGGCCTGCCTGCATGTTTATTTATCATTACTTAAGAGTGACTAAGCTCTTCTCATAATTTTCCACCCAAACGACCTGGGTGAATATAACTTACATTGGAGGGATTCTTGTAAGATAGTAATTTATTTGAATGGTTTTTTTTTTTCAATTTAAATTTTAATTGTTTATTCCTTGATAGAGGAAGCGGGATCCTAGTGTTGTCACTTGGTACCCCTGTACCATAACACCAGAAGCAACTGGCCAGTGTCACAAGTATATACAGTCATCCCTTGGTTATCGCGCCTAATTGGGACCCCGCCGATAACAAAAGTACAAAACCTATGGGATTTATTCTAATTGGTTCCAGGCACCCAAGACCCATCCCCAAGTTTCCCATTTTACGACCATTTAGACCCACTAAATATATATATAATGTTATGGTAAATATCATAAACACACATAGGCATGGCTAGGTTTATTACAAAGTGATGAAAAGGGTACGCTTAATACTGTAGTCCACAAAACATGTAGCTATGCTTTTTTTATTTGGTCCCCCGTCATACGAGTCCGTTTTCTCTCACATCAGGACGCCTGAGTCCTCCGTTTTCTCTCTTAATCTTAGAGTGCACCAGAAACTTTACTATTTTTAGTAATGCCACAGAATTTGAAATTGCAACTGGGGTTGCAATTGTTGAGGCAACTAGATATGTCTGATTACAGCAAATGTGTTATTGTCAATTTGTAGGTGAAAGATTTTATCCTCAATAGATGTAGGTGAACCAAGGGGTTAAAATTACACCTGGAGGCAAATGCGTGATGACCAAATTCTCGACCTGAAAAATGCCTATAACTGGTGTGCAGATTTTGATGGAGGCGTGATAACGAAAATCACGATAACCAAGTGCGCTATAACCAAGGGATGACTGTGTGTGTATATATATATATATATATATATATATATATATATATATATATATATATATATATATATACTCGTCTATAACCCCCCTTCGTATATAGGTCGACCCCGATTTTATGACCAAGAAATCGTTAATTTATGATATTCCTCGTTTATAGGTCGACCCAAGTTTTTGAGGGTAAAGGAACAACAAAACCTTCAGAGAAACACTACGTCCTATAAACTTGTTTACCATTTATTATCACGACACTTTACACTGAAACGCGGGTAGTTTCAACAAAAATATTGTATATTTCCATTCAAGTATTTATTCAAGTCAATTAGGAGGGAATGTTATTGTAATACAACAGTTTTTTAACTAAACCATTCGAAAAGTGATTACGGTAACATCTTTTGAACGAAAGAAAGCCAGTCATTGTTTTCATCACGATTTTATCCCACTTTCCACTGTAATACGTACGTCATTTCAGCAAAAAATATTACATTTCCGTGAATGTATTATATCAAGCACAGTATAAATAGAATATCATTGTAATATAACAGAATTTTATCCGAAAACTATTAAAAAAACGAATAACATCTCGAGAACATCGGAAGCTTAGGTAAAGTCTTTTGTTTTCGTCATGTATTTTAT